GAGCTTCTCAGTTGTTCTCATAACCAGATAACTGTCAAATATTCTGATAATAAAATTAAGAGTTTGGCCAAATCCGAATGAAAAAAATAATCCTCCGAATACCACTCGACCTAAAAAATGAATCGGATGTTTCCCTCTTGTTTCCCTATACAGTAAAGATTGGGATAAGTTTTGCACAAAAATCCCTCGCGCTGAAGCGCTCGGGATTTTGATCTGCAAAACTTCTCCCTCTCGTTGCTGCCCAATGAAACAATCGAGAAACATCCGATAATTTTTGAGGTCTCGTGATATTACTAATGACAGTTTCTATTATATATTTTCTATCGAAAATAATGTTCGGTCGTTAAGCCTGGACTCATTATAGAAGGAGGAAAGTGTATACAACATAGAAACAAAGGATCATTTGATCCCATTACCCATTGACTGAGTCATTAAAGTGTGGAGGAAGTCAAAGTCTATCCTTCCACCCCACACACCCCCTCCCCCCCCTATCACTATGTCCGCTCGCTATGAAAAAAATGGAGGATTTGGGTTTAACATGTGGACGCCATGGGGGAAGCCAAAAATTAATATGTGAATTCATGGAAATATCATACCTTTCTTTGTAGCACTTTTCATCGACTTAGAAGCTTTATACTTCTGAACTCGTCTGCACAATGTTGCTTGTGGAATTCCATAGCGATGAGATGTTTTTCTATAACTTTTGTTCGCTAAAATGGCCAGAATTGCNTATACGATTCGTAGGAGTTTCTCAAATTATTCGGGCCCCAGTTTTTGCTTTAGTTCCGTAATTCTCATGCAGATAGGTTGATGACTCGGATTTCATTTCAAACAACACGAAATAATTGATTTTACACTGGAAATTTGAGATATAGGAGTCGGTGGGATTGATGGAGTTTGGATCCAGATCTAGTCTAGGGTTTTCTGGACTCGCTGATCGTCTCTGAGTGAGGNTCATTTCTTCAAATTATTTCCCTCGCCCGCCGCTTGTGCACTGGCGCACGCGGGCGCTGCTGCTTTTCTGTTGGACAACAATGCCCCGTATCGCCGTACATCGATGAATAAAGAAATATCAATAATGTTCAGAGAGGGGAATTATCATCCCAAATATAATGTTAATTATGATTTCTACTCGCAACATCGAAATTGTGCTGGAGACGAACTAGCTTCGAATTTGAATGGCTGGAAAGTGAAACCTNATTTCCCTCGCCCTCCGCTTGTGCACTGGCGCACGCGGGCGCTGCTGCTTTTCTGTTGGACAACAATGCCCCGTATCGCCGTACATCGATGAATAAAGAAATATCAATAATGTTCAGAGAGAGGAATTATCATCGAAAATATAATGTTAATTATGATTTCTACTCACAACATCGAAATTGTGCTGGAGGCGAACTAGCTCCGAATTTGAATGGCTGGAAAGTGAAACCTAACCTCAACCTGTCATTTTTCAAGTGAAGTACTTGCCCTTGGCAATCCCAATAAGATTCACTCTCGTGTTTTCCTGTAGATTCGGAGACATTCAGATATCAAAAACGAAATGATAAATTGATGCTCCACCACAAGTCAAGAAGAAAAGGAAAATTATGAAATAATGCAACATCAAATTCCGAGTAAGTTGTCAAGCAGTTCCTGCCAAATATCTTGAAATCCAATGGAAAGCGGAATTTGTATGATGCCCTGTTTCTCAGCCTTTGAAATTTTCTACAAAAAAAATTCCTATGGAATTTCTCCTTAAGATTACAAGATATTCACCTAAAACTGCCGAGTGGACAGCTGGCAGTTGATGTCTCTGACTTAACCCCGAATTGTCATTCTTGCAATGGAGATAGCGGAATTTTCATAATAATCTTTCTTATAGCCCTTGAGATTTTCTATAAAAAAAATTCCCATTCGAATTGTCCTATTTTTTTCACTTTACAAGATACTCACTAAAAACTGCAAAGTGTACTTCTGTCACTCACTTAACCTTGAAATTTCATTTTTGTAATGCAGATAGCGGAATTTTCATAATAACCTTGTTTGAAATTCAGCTATTCAAACTAGTCAAACGGTCACCGGGCTCAACGAAAATCTCGAGAAAATTCGGGACCCTTCGGGGTCACATTCAGCTACGAAGAAAATCCCCGAAAAAGTCTGTAGTATCGCTCTAGCCACCGAGAGAGTCACTCTAATCACAGTACTGTATCGCCGTAACCGCTCAATCGAGTACATCACCGGAGTACATCAACGCGATACATTTGAGTCTAGCGCTCCGTACAGCGTCTCTATTTAATTCAATTCTACTATCAATTGATTCCGAGTTACCTATCAATTATTTTGAGTCAATCATCAAGTTCAATATCGAGAGAATCTCAAGTGCAGTGCATTTTTAAATCATCATTTAATTGACTTTGTCGAGCAACGCAATAGTGTAACATTATTAATTTATCAAGACGCGTGGGTTATTCCACAATAAAGTACATCAACAGTGTGGTTTTATAATTCCGCGTGTTTTAATTTTCCACCTCCTT